AAAAAAAAAAAAGTGTACTGAGGTGGGATGTGCCCAACTGGGATGGGGAGACAGCTAGGACAGGTAATACACCTAGGGCACAGGTGCAGTGAGGGGATTTATATACACGGGAATAAACACATCATTGCTCGGTTGGCAGAGGTACTGAACGTGACTTCAGAACTGGGAGAGCATGATACAGGGACTCAGCACTTAGAGCAACAGGCATGTAAGGAGAGAAAGAGTCACTCCTCTGAGGCTGAGTGTCCTGTTTTCCAGACTAACCCAGACTGAGAGAGGGTGATCTGGAGAGCACACTGGATGCAGGGGAGGATGGCCCTAGAGTTGTGTGGATGAGTGGGAGCTCTGAGCCTGCTGGAGTTGTATGGATGAGTGGGGGCTCTGAGCCTGCTAGAGTTGTGTGGATGAGTGGGGACTCTGAGCCTGCTGGAGTTGTGTGGATGAGCGGGGGCTCTGAGCCTGCTGGAGTTGTGTGGATGAGCGGGGGCTCTGAGCCTGCTGGAGTTGTGTGGATGAGCGGGGACTCTGAGCCTGCTGGAGTTGTGTGGATGAGCGGGGACTCTGAGCCTGCTGGAGTTGTATGGATGAGCAGGGTGGCCCCTGCTGCTTGTCCTGTCCGCCTGCATGTCAGAAGTACAGCAAGTGTTAGAAATCCTTGTGGCCTTGCCAGTTCTCCCTGTCCGCTTGCAACCTGGTAGAAACCCTGCGGTCAGGAACCCACCAAGCTTACAATGCTGGCTGCTGCCTCACCACCTGGGCTGCCACCAAAACACCTGGCACCACCCAGACACTTCTCATAGAGGGCCCCCAACCCAACTCCACAGCAAAAATCTAAGTCATGGGTTTTTCTCACTGTGTAATAAAATCTAAAAGCATTAAGGTAAAAGCGCACTGATCCCCAAAGTCTCTGCGCCATTGTAAAACGCACACGTTAGCTAGCTCACCCACACTGCACCCCTCCCCGTCTGTCTCAACCAAACATTACCAGTAACCTCCATGTAGCTGAAAAGCATGTGACACTTTGAAAATTTTTCTGGTAATGACATAAAGCACAACTTATCAAACACCACAGTTTAATTTCATGCCTATTTTCTGTTCATTGTGAACCTTGCTCCTAAAGGTCAGAATTTTTATACCATGACTTTCAGTAAATAAGCAAGTCACGTTTCACATCATGTGTGTAATCTAAAAATCTCCATTAAATCGATGTCAACCCATTTTCTTTCAGCAGCAATAATCTCATAATGGTGGATATGTTACCTTATCCCAAAAAGCAGTAAAATCTTGCACGTGGACGGTCCTTTTACCATCTGAGAGAGGGTGAGGGTTCTGTTTTGATATTTCATCAAGTAATAGAAAGTCCTTAAAAAAAAAAAAAGACACAGATTGTTTAAATGGCAAAAACAACAACAGTACAAACAAAAATCATTATTTCTGTGAAATTTGCTATATAAGCCTACAGATCATTTTAACAACTGACCACTATAATTTTATTTTCCTGAGACAGGGTCTCACTCTATTATCCAAGCTACAATACAGTGGCACAATCACTGCTCACTACAACCTTGAACTCCTGGATCTCAAGCAACCCCCATCCCCCCCCACCCCACCTCAGCCTCCTGAGTAGCTGGGACTAAGTCATGTGCTACCATGCCTGGCTAACTTACAATTTTTGTTTTTTTTAAATAAAAACAAGGTCCCACTATGTTGCCAAGGCTTATCTCGAATTCCTAGCTTCAAGTGATCCTCCTGCCTCAGCTTCCCAAAATGCTGGGATTAGAGGTGTGAGCCAGGCTCATAGCCGTTAGGCAACCATCTTTACCATTTTTTCTGACAAGTATACTACTTCTTTTCTAAAGAGAAAATATTGCTCCCAAGCTGAACACATTTAGAACCTGGCCATCTGTATCGGTTTACGTTAGTGTTACTAACAGTAAGCCAGACAGTTGGTAGGAAATGACCGTGAACACTGACTGAATCCTGGTCGTGTGCCAAGCACCATGCTCAATGCGAGGAACACGAGGAGCCATTCCCAGGCCTTCTGAAATCGAGCTGGGGCAGAAACACAGGCAGGCGGGGAACACAAGGCCAATGTCAGGGACTCCCGGAGGGGAAGCCCTAGCTCAGCCTGTGTCCTGTCTCCTCCCAAGTGCATGTCCAACCAACATATCAAAATTAGTAACTACCACTTAAGTTACAGTTCTAAAAAAGAAATGCTTGCATTATATTAAGTTTCTATCTCTTAAAAGCATCTTTTCACACCCACTTATCTTTTTTCTATAGGGAATGCCCTGGGCTTAACAGCAGGAGAGGCTATTTTGCCCTCTCCTTGCTATTTTCCACACTAGACAGAAGTTATCCCGGGTGATTTAACTGTGTAAGACCAAGTCCTGCTCACCATTACAAAGCTGAGCTAACATTCTAAGGGAAAAGTCCCTAGTCCTCCACAAACATTCGATGTAATTCAATAAGAATAGTTTCAGGGGTTCAGAAATTGAATAATCAACCCAGAAAACACTTCCCACCCTGAAATTTTGATCACGTGGAAGAAACAACATTGGCTGTCCTCAAATTTGCCCTCAGTCTTCTGTGGTTAACAAACCCGCTCCCCCATTTCTAGCTGGTTGGTGGCAACGTGCAACAAAGACCACACTCCCAGCCTCCTGTGCCGCTGGGTGCAGCCGTGGGAGTTCCAGCCAATGGAAAAAGATCACATGGCTCAGAGGCTGCCATTCAGGGAAAAAGGGAAAAGGAGTCTGGGTCCCTAATGCTACGGAGCATCACACAAGCCATGGTGTGACTGACCTGTGTTCCTCCAATGTTGTGTTTTCAACCTGTCCCCTCCAAAATCTGGGCGCTGAAACTAACTTAATGGCCAATGTGATGGGGTCTTTCAGAGATGATTAGGTTATGAGGGCTCCTCCCTTACGAATGGACTGAGGAGCTTATAAAAGAGGCTTCATGCATAAGTAGGGTGACCAGACGTCCAGATTTTGGCGGGACAGTCCCACTTTTCAACAATTTGTCCCATGTCCGGCAGCATTTTAAAAAAGTCCCAATTTTTGGAAAGAAGGCACGAACGGGCTGGAGAGCAAGAAGAGAATATATGGTTTTCGGCCACTATATGGCTATTTCGCCAGAATATGAGTTTTATATTATTTTTGTTAATTTTATAATGTTAAACTGTAATAAATAATTGCTGAGAAATGATTATCGAGAACTGCTTATCAAAGTTTGCATTGTTGTCAGGCCCTGCTTGCCTGCCCTGTCCTGTGCCTCCGCCCCTGCTCTGCGGAGTTAGGGAACAGCGGGAGAATGGGAAGGGAATATACAGTTTTCAGCTGCTGAAAAGGTTAATGTAACTCCATTTGGGAATGAAGAGGTTAAGGTAACTTCATTTGAAAATGAAAAGGCTGGCTCGGCGCCTATAGCTCA